GGGATTATGAGTTTGTTCTCACCATAAAATCTGTGGATTATGTACTCAGAAGCACACTGACAGTGCTAATCATTTCTAATTAGGAAATTATAAAGACTCATTCTCATTTGTCCTCCTTGAAGATGACAAACAGCTTCCCCAATACGACCGCTCTTGGTCTCACACACACACACGCACACACTCGCATACACACCAATGAGCTCTCACGTGCATGCACACACGTCATCATTGCCTCACATTTAGCTCGCCTCCTCCGTCATGTCAGGCTTGTGTCAATATAACGAATGCTCCAACCTTTGTGTCAGATATGCCATATCATGAAACCCATTAATGCAAGACACACATCTGTTCATGATCTTCATGGTCCCCGATGGTTTTTCCCCAACTTAAGACGGACAGAACTCACTTAAACACTGGCGCAAATCATAACTGTGTTCATCCATCAGGTCGTATGGCCAAAACACCATTACGCACATGCCTCCTGCATACATGAAAACCCCACAATCCACCATTCAAACTCTAATACAACTAAGCTGCAAGTCTTTGTGTCTCTGTGTTTCTTATACATACTAAAACATGCATAATCACATACTGTACATGTCTGTACTTGCCTTTGCATTCATTGCTGTAATGCCGTGGTAACTGCTTTTGACTGTCAGCTTATCTGTTTTGTGTCTGTGCTTATGGTTCTGTGTTATGTGTTGTGGAATGGCTGACATTGCTATCTATGAGGCTGCTTCTCAATGTAAACAGTACCTTCTACTGGGCTTATACTCTCACAGACACAGAAACACACATTTCCACAGAAGTTGACTGATGTATTTCACCAATGAAGTGTCACGATTGAGCACATTTGACGAAGATAAGCACACATAATATAGGGGTGAGGGTGTAAATGTGTATTAATAGTCTCCTTGCAAGTCATCCCTGCTATTTGGGATTCTTTGACAGTTCAGATATCAGTTAAATTACTGACTACAGTAAACATGGATGGAAATGTGTCATCTTCCCCTGTATTGCTACTCTTTCACTGTGCTCAAAAGCATCTGATCTCATTTTGGGTTGGTGCCTGGGTGGGCGAAGTGGGCATGTTTGTAATGATAGTGCTGTACATCTAAAGGAAAAAAGGTGCCCTCCACACTGCTTTGGAAGCTAGTCTAAATTTTCTTGATTCTCCTCACAAGCTATTTCCAAATGAGTGTCTGAGGCCCATTTCATTCATAACAGGGCGGCTGTATTGCTTTACCCTCTTTGGCCTATATAAATGTTCTACGAGAAGTTTGCATGAAAGAGTTCTGTCATCGGAATCAACCGCATCTCTGAAAGTTCAGACGAAGAGCCGCAACTGTAATGCTGCATATTGACTAAGTAGAAATGATTACCGTTGTCAGAACTCTTCCATTATGGTAACATCTGTGGTTTTGACCATGTCTGATATTTCATATAATCCATGTAGATTTAGCACGAGAAGAGCGGGCACTTCCTTGCGTATCATCCTCGCAGGTCTGCCTAAAACAGCTGACCTCTTCTTGCCGTGGTTTGGATGGGAAATGCCGGCCTCCTCGTTCTAACTCTATATAATGATCTGTGTCACTGTGGCTCAAAGCTCTCATATTTCCTTTTTGTTTTGTTTTTGTAGATAAGTACTCTGTGTTGAGGGGTGTAGCGGGCGAGGGGGAGAAAGAGAGAGGGAGAGAGCAATACAAAATGCCATTTAAACATCTCCCCTTTCCAGGTATATAACGACTGTGTGAATGCCTCTCTGAGGACACAACACAGAACGACCTGCTTAACTGTGTGTGCTGACTGACTGCCGTGTCTTTCTTCTCGCTCACCCCCCACCCGTCTGTCTCTCCAATTGACTTCTCTCTCTCCTCCACCTTACAATCCTCCCATCTGCCTGATCTTGTCTGTCACTCATCCCCTCTCTGTCTCCGCTCCGTCTGCCGATTGTCTGCCTGTGTGTCTATTTGGCTTCTTTATTTTTTTTATAATTTTATTTTGGCTTGTTTTAATCTTCCCACTCAACTTGCATGCACACAAACACACAAACACATTTATATAAATTACTCCACATCTCTTTCTCCCATCACCCTCTCCTCTGTTCTCTCTGTCTCTCTGCTCCTGTCTTTTGCACACACAAATGCACGTCACACACTCACACCAGACACAGGCAGATGGCCCATCTGCTAGGCAAGCTGCTGATCCTTGCCCTCACAGCCCCAACGAGCACCCCCTTGCCCTGGGTGGCCAGACCCAGAACCAGAACCCCAACACCGCCAACACCACTGCCCCCACTGCCACCCATTACCAGCCCCCAGCATGCTGCGACATTCCCTGTGCCCTGATCGTGCAGCACTCCTACGAACCCACCAACCCCTCCGAGCTCACCCCCAAAATGAGAATGACCACCTTCACCACATCACCTCCCACCCCAAGGTTATACATACAATAAAGGATAGAAATAAACCATTGGTTAGTAATGCTTGAAGATAGATGTTATATGAATGATGATGTATTAAGAGGACATCAAGGAGCAGGGTTCAAATTGTTGGTGTTCGCAATACAAGCTAAGCTCTGCTGGAAGCAAATGTACCTCTTTCAAAAACATTTATATATCTGGCATGTTGCCAGTTGACTATATGTGCAGTGCTGCCTTTCTGCCATTAGAGGGTGCTGTCTCTCTATCTAGAGGCAAATAGAGCATCTTCTTTGACCAGACAGTTAAAGTTGTATGCTCTGCAAAGTTCTATATGCAGGTAAAAGCCTTCCATGAAGTATTTATTTTATGTAACAGAGATTTTTGCAAAACCTCATATTACAATATGAAGCCAAAAACCATTTTTATGGTTTAAACTTGGCTTTGTTCTCCAAAATAAGGCCTTTGTATTGCACAGTAAATTAGTGATGTATATTTAAATACATTTCAGACATTTTAGATTAGTTATTTTTATTAATGTCAGTACAGGTTATGATGATTTGGGTGATTCGGCGTTGACTTTTCTTCTGTAATGTTACAGTGGACATTATAATGGAGGAGAACCTCCCATCACAGTAGTATAAATCCAGTCAGCTCCTGCCACGAAAACCTTCCACCTCCCCTTGCCTCAGTCCCTTTCGATCACTCCTCGCATTAGTGTCCTTTCACTGACAGCAGACTGACCATTTGTGATGCACTCTTCTCTTCCACTTCCCTTCATTTCTTTGATACCAACTCTACCCTTTGGATCCCCCCCCCTTCAAAACATTTAGTGTGTGTATGATAGTGACACGACAAACACTAGCGCCCCCTCGTCCTCTCCTTCCTCCCACTGTCCCTTCCTTAGATGGCAACCAGGGGGCACCACTGTTGGTCCCCTCTGTCCGTGAGCTACATACAGTAGGTCCAGAGCCCCCTCCAGACCCCCCAGACCCGACGGACACGGTCAGTAACTCTATCTTTACCCCCTAATGATGTGACTCCCCCTCCTCACAAAACCCTGTTTGACTTTACCTAGTGTTTCCATGAAGTGTGAAACACCAAAATAAGCCACCACCTAAAATAATGTGACACCCCGCACTTCCCTACACCTGCCTCTGAGACCCTTGCCTTCCATAAAACCAGAGAAGCACATTGCCACACGTGTGTGGACAACATTTTAAGAGTTTCGGAAACTCTCTCCAGCACCTTCTAACACCTTCCAGCTCCTCTCTATATCCTCACCTCATCCATTGCGAACTCCGCTCCCTTGCACCACTGTCCCCTATCCAGTAAAAGCATGACACACCTCTCACTGAGTGTTACCATCCTTTAGACTATGTGGATAAGTTATTTAAGTGTGAATATAGTAATTATAAGTTTCATTTAATATATATACTGTAAGTTAAGTTAAAGCTTAAGTTAATGTATGCACTCTGTCTTTAAGATTGTTAAGATTGTTGTATGATGCAGTAAGAAATAAGCCATAGCAGCGATGAATTGTATGTGGCCTGGAGAAAAAAATTCACTTGAAAATGAGATGTCAATCTCAATGTGAATTTTTTGGCATGATGGCCAGAATGCAATGGTGACAATAAGCAGGAAAAAATAAGATAAGTAAGGTATTGTTGAGCATTTGGACTGCCTTCCGTAATTTAAGTTGTTTGTATAGTGTAATATTAATATATGGACAATAGAAGCACCCTGGAATCGCAGAGCACACAGCATGATGGCAGTGTGTTTTCTGTGTGTATTCCAGATTATCTGCACTCCCTTAAAGACCTTGTAGAAGTGTGTGTGTGTGTATGTTTCTCTCTTTCAATATCCTGACCACAGCTCAGAGTGTGCTTCTCTTCCCTCCATCCTTCCCCTCCTCTCTTTTTGCTCTCCCTGCTTCCTGTCACATCCACGTTCCCCCCGTGACCACCATTTATTTACCTTCATTCTCACTCTCGCACTTAATTATGGACTTTTATCTCATTGTTAATTGTGCCAAAACTTTCATTTGGCCCCATGCGTACTATCTTGCCCTCATTGCTTTATCATCTGCATTATCTGATGCCCCTTTCTTGCTTTCACTATTTTTCTTACTATCCATTTATGCTGGTTGGATGGATGACATCCCTATTGCTGAATACAAATACACCCCATCCTTGTCCATGTCCTCTTTTTCAAAATATATCCTCTCTGCACATACTCTGCTCTATTTCCTTCAATGTTCTCTCCATTTCCTTACTACCCTCAATCCTTTTCCTTTACCTTTCCTTCCTTTATCCAACTTTCCTTGATTCATCCCTTTCATCTTTCCTCTCACCATCTCCCCCTTCCTCTTTCTCATCCCTCTCATCCTATCCTCTGTTCCCTTCTCCATCTACCATCCGTTAACACTCATCTTTCTCCTATCCCATCCCTTCTGATTCTTCCTGTCATATCCTTTCCAATTGCCTTCCCTTTGCATTACCGTCTCTTCCCTTCTACCATCTACCACACCGCTTCCTCTTCTCCATCCTCCTCCTCCTCCCCCGCCCCTCCCCACCTGCAGGACGATAAGGAGATCGACCTGGAGCACCTACACCGCCGGGTTAACAGCTTGTGCACCGAGGATGAAAGCCCCCACAAGCAGTTCTCCACCTCTTCCGTCGATTTAACACCCCTTGACATGGATGCGCTGCCTGCCGCGCGCCAGGCACTCGAGCAGATCAGCGATTTCCGCAACACCCACATCACCACCACCACCTTCATCCCCGAGCAGATCCAGACCCTCAGCCGCAGCCTCTCTGCCAAAGCTGCTGCTGGATTTTCCGCTGGTTTCGGTGGCGGCGGCGGGGGCGTCCTCCAGGACCACCGGACTGGCGGGGTGGGCCCTTTCAGGCAGAGGGCCCCCAACGGTGGTTTCTTCCGCAGCCCCATTAAAACAATGTCCTCCATCCCCTACCAGCCCACAGGTCCAGGACCCAACTTTGGATATGGCAATGATCCAGACAGGGGCACCTCTATATGAGGAGTTGCTGAGGATATGGTTGGTTCAGGAGGAAGAGGAGGACGAGGAGGAGGAGCAGAAGGAGGGGGCGAGGTGGCTAGGGTCGGTCATGGGATGGTAGAACAAATACATTATGGCTAAGCTAAAAAGTCAGAGGATAGAGATGTGTACATAGGAATCTTTATGTTTTCAGTTTCTGCTTGGGTGTTTCCAGGGGTGTCCATTTTGTATGTGGAGAAGATGGAGGAGGTGGAGGTCTGTTGGGGCGTTCCTTATCCTCCTGCAAACCGTGCTGGTGAGGTGCAAAAACGGACGGGTGGGTGGGTGGGGGGTACAGACGGGGCTTGGATCTTTGCTTTATTGTTGTTGTTCTTGTGATTGTTTGGGGGATTATTTTGGGGGATATGTGTGAAAGGGGATCTTTTTTATTGCTTCTGTTTTACGATATGAGAACTGCCTCATGTAATGGAGATCTGCTGAAATGACCTGACTATTATTACCTAAACCCCACCTCAGAGGGTTTAGTTTATACTACACCAACCACAGGAAACACGTCTATATTCCTGTGAGCTTCAGGGCTGCCATTGGTGGATGACAGGTGGTGTCTTTAGCCATTAAACAACTCCAAGGGGCTCACACTACTAAGCAATTATTGAGTTGTTGTTTTATGGAGGCGTATATCACAATAGTTTTGTCTGTAGCCCTGGGAATACATACAGCAGCCCCTTGTAGTTTTGAAAAGGCCCCATCTCAGTGAATAACGGAAGATTCCACTTCTCCAGTTTTACTCTGCCTTTTCACTATGTGGGAGTCCAATATGAGTTTTCTCTTCTCTGGTGTCATTTCACCAAAACCTGCGGTTCTAAATGTGTTATCATCCCCAAGGTGGTGTCCACATGGTGGCCTGAGTAGACCTAAGACTTTACAACGGAACACACGCTGACCCCATCACGGTGCATCGGTCTCAAAACTGCTGAAATGCCATGACAGTGCAACAATATGACACTGAATCACCAGTTTGGTGCGTCAATCTTAAACTATTTCTGCCATTTTGGTGCATCAGCCTGAAACTGTTTTCACCACTTTGATGCACATTAAAGACTCTTTGTCAACCCCACTGCACTGTACCAGTGCCCACAGACCTGTAAGTGATTGTATGTAGATCTGATCTTTTTCTTTTCTCACCTGTACTGTGCTATCTGCTTTTCAAGTCAAGGTGAGATCCTCCAATCAGACTCTCAGAGGGGATAGTATAAAGGGATGATACAAAAAAAAAACAACTTAAAGAAAAAAAAAAACATAAAAGACAAGCCGAAAGACTTCGAAAAAAAAGCTTATGCTTATTATATGTCTTTTATTGAATTTTGTTTTTGAAAAAAAAATAGATTTTAATGCGTGGAATGTGTTTTGGTCAGGAAGTACAAAAAATAACATTGTTCTGAGCTGTCTGCTTGTTTTTTTCTCTCAGCAAACTTTGAAAACTGCTAAATGAGTGCCGTAGTCTCTGGTTTTGCATCATTAAGTCATTCAAACTTTTACTTTTGATTTTTTTTTTTTCTTTTATTATTTTGCTTAATTTTAGTGCTGCCATGGCCCGAGTGTTCAAAAGACAAAAGCGCATTCTGTAAGGTCATGTCACGTCCGAGGTCATTGATCACTTCTTATCAGGTTCAAGTGGTGAAATGGAGTTTATTTTATTGTTGAGGAGAAGCCATTGCAACAGCATCTTCAGTACAGGCCTTATATGTCAACTAGCTAGCTGTACCCTCCCGACCTCCAGTCAAATCCAAAATATCACCGCGTACTGGAAACGTTTTAGAGCAGCAAATCAGTGGTTGTGCTTTAGGGTCACGGGAATGTCACGAAGAGTCAACGGCCATTGGAACCCAATGGCTGCCTTTTATGAGTCCGAAATATACTTCTATTTCATATCTGTAATGTTAAGGGTACTGTTTATATAACTTGTTTTTTTTAAAGTGCCAATTAATTAAAATGAGACCATTAAGGTGCATTTTGGGGGCGGGGGACGGGGAATGGTACACATTAAGAGCATTAAAGGAATATTTTGTGGATTAGCGGGTGGGGTGGTTAAAATGGAACCAAATCTTTTTCACTAACACTGTATTAATAATTGATAATGTTAGTTGTTTAGAACAAGTTTTCAGTTTGTTATCTTTAAGAACTAAAACCGCAAAATGTTGTGCGTAGAGAACTCAGTCGAGCCACAGTGTTTTGAAGCAAGCATTCTTAGGCATTCTTTTCTTATATTAGGCTACAGTATGGCTATTGAATGACAAATAGGACACAGACATTTAAAAAGGTTTTATTTAGTATAAATGAAAGAGACATTATAAAAATGTATATTTTACATGTTGATGCTATTTTTGTTTAACAAAAAGAAAAGAGTATATCATGACGAGCTTTAGTGTTGCGTTTAGCAGTCACATTACTGCATTTGGTTTTCCCTTGTTCTGCCCATGGTCGACATAAACACATCGAACACAAACTCTTTTGCTTTTCTCACGTCATCCTGAGTTCATTTTATTATTTGCTGGCTAAATAACAAAAAGTGGCAAGTTGATTAAAAAGAAAGCATGCACAAACTTGCTCTTGCGCTATCTGTTAACATTTTTAATTTCATACATAGAACTACAGGATTTACTTGATAATTTTCAAAAATTTATGATGTACAGTATTTAATATAGGCCTATTTTGTTGTATGTGTTGCATATTATTCAAAAACTGAACAAACTGGGGCCTCTGTTACAAGTGGCAAAGCTTTCTGTGTATAATTTGTCTAATAAACAGGTTTTCTACAGTGGGATGGTATTTGTTGTTTTTGCTAAACTGGACAATCATATTGTGAAAGGTGGTAAATTTTGTAATGTACATCATCTCATTCATCAACAAACTGAATTTTTCCTCATGCTAAAATCCTTATGTCTTTTTTCTGTTAGCTCTAAACATCTGTAAATTTCCTGAACTGAGCATTCAAAGATAAAGGCATCTCACTAAGAACCATCCATCCATCCATCCATCCATCCCTCTCCCCAGCAAGGCTTTCCAGCTCCTCCTGAGGGACCCCGAAGCATTCCCAGGCTAGTTGAGGTAATCCCTCCAGTGTGTTCTGGGTCTGCCACGGGGCCTCCTACCAGTGGGATGTGCCTGGAACACCTCTAACAGGCGACATCCTGATCAGATGCCTGTACCACCTCAACTGACCCCTTTCAAGAACCTGGTCTCTCTCCGAAGTTGTCGAAATCCGGCACTTGTGCAGTGACTTGCGGTGTCAGAAACCAATGAAAAAAGGTGTCCCTTAACATTGGCATGAAAAGCAGCCAGTTGCTGTTATAGTTTAAAGGCACCCAGCAGTGTCCTGGGGAAATGTGGTGGGACAAGGACGAAAGTTAAGGCAGTGAAACTCCAAATGGGGTGGTGGATGGTTCCAACAGACACCGATTTTCACCCGAGAAAGCGGAGTTTGTGTCCCCTAAGATTCAAATGCCAAACCCTGTTCTTTTTTTCCTAAACCTAACCACGTGTTTTTGTTGCCTAAACCCAACCATGTGTGTTTGTTGAAGGGGAAAAAAACGTCAAGTTGTGTTGTACCAACGTAGTGCGTTTATTCTGAAAGAGACTGCAAGTAAACAGTAAATTTCCTGTGAAAATGGAAGTGTATTTTGAAAGAAGACAATGCATTTAACAGGCAGAACTTGACATGGTGTACCAGAACGTCAACAACCAATGCACCCAGGGTACCTTGCATGTCATATGTAGATGTGGAAAGTCCATGACCAAGCACGTCAATATGCGATGAGGTCGGAGTCTGAATGTGTTGCTTTCAACGTGAAGTAGCAGCAGCTCTACTCCTTCCGCGTGTCCAAGCTCCTTACCCTATCTCTAAGGCTGAGCCCAGCTAGCCTTCTGAGGAAACTAATTTCGGCCACTTGTATCCACAACCTCATTCTGTTGGTCATTATCCATAGCTCAAGACCATAGGTGAGGGTGGACCAGTACTTTCCCTTCTGGCTCAGCTTTCTGTTTACTAATAACCAACTTTTCATAAAACTAAAGTTTCACACTAAAGCACCATCCACATTCAAATAAACACAAGAAGTTTGTGCTCTCAAAAAGGATCAGCACTCAGTGAGTAACCTCCTAAGTCCTACGATAAGCTATTATGGCAAGGCTTTACTATACAGACCAATGAGCAGTGATAACTAACATGTCTTTGGGGTCATCGGGTGGGAACCTCCTTTCACCAGTGTTTCGTCTAGTTGGTCCCACGACACCTCCAGGAGGCTAGACAGTGATCTCTGGCGTCCCAGAGACACTCCCCTAATGCCAGGTCTCACTGCTCCCCTCCCCACACCAACCCAACAACCTCCTTTACCTTACTTACACATGGCTTTCTCAGCCCAAACAGCACTGCCACCTTCAACCACACCCAGGCTCCGTACATGCGAGCTCCAGGTAGAAACAGGGCTGATACTACCTTTCCTAGCACATTCACCATACTCTATTTCACACGCTACATAGCATAACTACAATATAAGCTAAAGTTAAAGGAGCTAAATGAACTTACAGGATCAGCAAACACACTCACCTTGCCACATGGCCTCAAACAAAATGGATTCCAATAGGCCACTCCCACACTTAAATACTTCCTCTTCCTGGATTTCTCCTGAGAGGAAGTGGATCTCTCCACCTGATCTCAAGGAGTTATGTGCCCTGTTTAGTAGTTCCCCCTGCTGGCCCCCAGCTGACATTATTTCTTCTGTAATAGATAAACTGGCTACATTTAATTGCTTCATCTGACATTTCCCTCACTGTCTTCCTCAAACTCTGTCCCCGCACTCCGAGTTCCAACAGGAGCGAGACAGCTGATCTTGCTATGAATCCCCTACACCCCACTTCCACTGGACAAATCCTAGTCTTCCATCCTCGCTGCTCAGCTTCTGCTCCTAAGTCTGCATATCTAAGCTTTTTTCTTTCATGGTCTTCCCAAGGAACTGTCAGCTCAGTGAAATAAACTATCCGTTGACTCACTGACCACAACACTAAGTCAGGCCTCTGCCTGGTACAAACTATTTCCTGGGGAACAACAAGCTTTCCCCCTAAATCTACTTGCATTTCCCAATCACAAGCACCCTCTAGGCGGCCACACCCTTGCCTCCTCACTAACTTATCCCTTCTGTATTTCTCTCCCTCACGGACAAACTGAATTACTAAGCTCCTATCCTTAACACCTTCTGAATTCACCTGTCTTAGTAATGTCATAGCAACTGTCAAAGTCTTTCTTTTAGAGGCTTCTTCCTTTTCCAGAAAAAAAATGTCAAAGGTTTCTTCTCTCCACAGCGTTCTGTTTTTTTGTATGTGGCTTGTCTTCTTGTTTTCCAGTAGTCCAGCAAGTTACATCTTATCAGTAAGTTGACCCAGATACTGGTGAGTAGTCATGCTTTCATCAAGAGCTTTAGTATTATTTCTCTTCTGTACCCTCTTTTCTGATATTATCATTTTATAAACACTTATCGTACGGCAACAAGGGACATCTGATTTGTTTATGTAGTCGGGGAGAGAAATCCAGAATGATCATTCAACAAAAGAAAAGGTTTTTCAAGTAAAATCCATCCTTAAGGTTTGACCCTGTGATAATGACTAACTAACAAGGCTTTCAGTGGGGGGTTGTTAACTTGCACGTCACAGTGTAATTTTGACCTTTTAATTTTCAAAGGGACAATTGATCCAGAACAAATACACGAGTAAAATTGACTGATGCAGGCAGGGTGTCATTTAATAAGGGATGAAAAGGGATTTCATCACTCACGGTACTCGTAGCTGCAGTTAATTAAACTTAATAGATTTCAGGGGTGAAAGTTAAAGGGAAAAATATAACATTTTTAAATGGGTGTGACTGATCTGAGATGATTTTATGTGTGGAATAGATTTTAAGTTCAAGCCTGAGCTGAGCTTTTGTGTCTTTCACTTCAAAGGCCTGCGTGCTGCTGTGTAACAGCTGGATAGACACACTGCTGAGGACGACTGCTGTCAAGTTCAATGGAGCACTACACTGTAGTTCTCCACTTTGACCAGTGGGTGACACTGTTTAGCCCCCTCCAATTGTCAGAGATCTCCCCATCTCTCTTTCAGACTTGGCTCAGTTTGTACTTTGTAAAAATATAAATGGCAGGTAATCCCCAAATTATTGAAAATGAATAAAATGAATTAATGTAGCAGATGATGATGGTGCATTGAATACTTGACACAACAAACTTGAGGTCAATGTGAAAGTTTTCTCATTGTACAAGTCAGGGATCAAAGTGTGCATCTTCATGTAGCCTCCAATCATTATCAGTATCATTATAATACCGTAAAACTTAAATTAATAACCTGGACTAATATTTGCTTATATCACTGAGCTCAACAGGCCTGTATTTGGGACAGGCCTTTAATTCCTTTCACACAAAACTATTGCTCAGCAAAGACAGGAAATGCAATCAAATCATTTACTTAAACCAGTATGAATACTACTTGTTTAAAAATTAGGCTCAGAAAAAAATATCAGTAGTGGATCATTCTTTTGATCTAGCTCCGACAGACAGTGCATCAGAGAGATTTAAGACACTTGAGGATTATGGCATCTGGCATGCTGACACAACACCACTTTATTCTGTTAAAACAATACGCACTACTTGGACTCATTTTTATGGAAAACCTTTTTGATTCTTTTGATCTGAAGATCCTAAGGGACTAAAGGAATATGAATAACTTAAAGGGTAATCAAGGAATGGACACATAATTTGACTTTATGACCTCTTCAGAAGGTAAATCTGAATTAATCGTTCTTTGGTGCTCATGGTTTCAGTGAAATGAACTGAGCTAACTAACTTTAGCTCAGGTGGGTAGCAGTTTGTGGTGGGTAGTTTTTATACATTCAAAGATCTTCCATAAAAATGAACTACTTTGCAACCAGACCAAGCGTCTAATAGAGGCAGGCCTTTATTTGTCAAAATGTGTAGCCACACCAGGCTAGTACAAGGGACTGGGCCTTTAATTGGGACTAGGCTTTTCACTGAAGTTTTAAAGTATGTTTAATTTCCTATATGAAGAGTAAACCTGTACCTAAAGTCCCTCTGATCGCCTTTTTGTCAACATATCGATAGTTTCAGGGGCCAAGCAGCAAAAACTGTAACTGAAAGTAAAAATACAGTAATCTAGAAATAATCCGTTATATGTAAATGTCCTGCATTCATAATTAAATTTAAGTTTAAGTACTAGGAGCAAAATGTAGCCTATTTAAAGTGTCAGAACGTTTGGACTGGAGACTTACAACATCAGCATGTTAGCAGCATTATAATGTAGCAGCTGGTTGGGGTGTTTTTTAAGTGTATATTCATCCATGATAATAGGCTGAGTCATACTTTTTAAAATGATTATGCACAATGCTGATCTTCAAAGTAACTAAAGCAATAAAATAAAGGTTATAGAGTGCAAAGTAGAACAGTATTGCTTACTTATACAATATGTCTAACCTATTTCCAATACAAGTATTGTCCAATTACACTTGATTTTTCCAGGTTTGTGTGGCAAACTCATAAAGTTTGGAGACATGGGAGTTCCCTAGAGTTTTAAAACGCATTAATAATTTAGCACCTGACAGAAAACTTTTATGAGTTTTAGCAAGTCTTTGAAAGGCTCCAGTTAAGTTCTGATATCCCTGTCCAGCTCCCCTCACTCCGGTCTCGTGCCCGTCGCGCCCCTGTCTCCCGGGAGATGGGAATGAGAAGCGGCAGCACGCAGACTGCTCTCGCGCATTGGAATGGGAGCCTCCCTCCTCTCTCCCTCGAGGAGCCCCCCAGGCGTGACCAATGGAACATAGAGTCTCCATTGTGGCCGCGACACTTTAATAATCGCCAGCTACAATATCCAACCTGTCGGTAGCTTCAGGAGCCCGGGCCGGCCCGTTGGATGGGGGGCTTGTAGGTGGGAAGAGGGGGCGAACGCTCGGCGCCAGACCTCTAGCCCGCAAGACGTCCCCGTGATGAATACATGAATAAAAATAGAAAAGATTTATGTCGGATTATCTCTGAAATTATGGGATTTCTTCACACAAATTTTGTTTTTCCCACAATTCCCAGCTCGGGAGCCCTTTCAGAATAAAACCAATATGTCTAACCGCTCTATATATTTGTATGTCAAAGTTGTAATGCTTAGGATGGTGTTTCCATGTGGCCTGTATTCTGTGATCAGGTCTTATAATGTAAAAACTGGGGGTAGTAACAGGTTGCCTTGCTTGATCATTGTGCCTCATACATTGGGCTACTGTATTTAACATACAGCCTGTGAGGCTATACTTTAAATCGACTGTGGCAATTAGGTTAAATAGCCAATTTCCACCCAGCAATTAGCCCATTGTTCATTTGCCAGGTTAGGCGTAAAGTTTGCATCTCAGTAAGCATGGCTGCTTTGATCACTGGTTGGTTCCCTAAACAGCTGTAATTTGTCCAAACTTTATTTCCTTTCCTTTCAACGTGTGATCAAAGCTCTTATTGGAATATCTATTGATAAACCAATAGCTCTATCGGTGATTGTATATTGTCACATCGTGTTCTGCATGTGTGAGTATTTGCATCTTTCTCTGTCAGTGTGTGTGCGTGCACTTTCTCCTCGCTGCCTCCAGTTGCAACCGCGCGCCACATCCAGCTCGTGTCAGTAAAGGAAACAGTGTTGAGCGCGAGACCCCTGCTCATGTTTCCGTTCCCTGTGAAGCCCTTTTTACCGACAGGGCGTTCCGAGAGCTGGATCAAAAGGTTTTTAGAGCCGCTACAAAAGAAAAATGGAAACTGGAGATGATCTTAGAATGGATGAATTGACAATGAGCGCGCGAGCCCCAGGAGCCGCAAAATATTTTGGCATCTCTTTTTTTTCCAAGATGACTTTTGCTCAAGCTTAAGTTTGCGTACTTTTTTCTCTTCAGGGTTTTTCCTCCCTTAACTTTGTTGATTTCTACAACTTGTTTCCTGCATTTATGTCACTGTTTATTTTCTAAATTTAATAAAAATGTATCTATAGTGCCTGTTCTGAAATTAAGACCCACAGTTAGTTAATTTGGGGGAAATATTTTGTCAGATTCTTCTTTCAGTCGTCTCACCTGTATGTGTGATGCAAACTCTGTGTTGACATGAACTTTGGAGCAGGTTTTACGGGTGCCAGTGGGGTGCAAACTTAAACGCACAGTTCGCAAGAAACACTTTAGGCAATATAGGGTGGCAAATTAACCCTTTTCCAGCTCCCTCCCCTCCTCCCCTGCGATGTCAGACAGACACACGAACAGGTAGGAATTCTGTCCCAGCTGCGCACGTCTCGCGCCGTCCTGTCCACGCTCTCCATGCACGTGCGTCCTGTGGGAGGTTCCCCTTACCTCCCTTGCGTTAAACACTCCTTAAATTGTAACGTTATCATAAACAGTCCAGCTTCGGGGGGCCGTAATCACCTCTCTCGAGGCCTTACCGAGACTTCTCATTGGACGTCAACACGCGACCAGCGCGAGGAGGGGGGCTCCCAGACGCGTGCCGCTTTTTAAACCGACGCCGCGCCTTGAGACACCAGAGAAGGAGTCTCGCACGCGACAGTTATATTCACACAGAGCGACCCGCATATCAGTGCGTGCCCCCAAGAAGTTTTTTTTTTTTCGTAATACTGTTAGTTGGTTCAACTTCAACTTACCTTTTGGGGTGTTTTTGGAAACATGGATGTCCGAAATGTGGAAGACTGGAGCAGAGGCGCGCGGGAGGTGGCGGTCCTCGAGTCGCGGCTACAGAGCCCGAAAGTGATGGAGAGGGGAGGGGAGCAGCAGCAGCTCGCGGAGTCCCGCATCGAACCTGGACTGACGCTCGTGGACAGCAGCAGTGACCCACGCGCCTGGCTGGCTCCGGTGCAGCCTTCTGGCACCTGCGCGGCACACGCCACTTCACCCGAGTACCTGCGGCACTCGCCCTGCCCGAGCACCGGCTCCTACCACGGTGAGAAACGCTGCTTTTAATTTCAAACATTTTGAAGCAATGCAACATCACATTCAACAGGCAGCTGGGATTAGTAGTGGTGATGAAGTTTTTGGGGGGCACAGTGCAGGTGTCACACAGGCTTATAGATAGATAGGTGCAAAGTTTATTTTGCGCAATTTAATATAGGCTAGTTATGCTATTAGTTGACAACTTAAAACAGTCATGAGATGTATATGCATGTATTTTAGGTTGTATTCCACTTCATTAAATTTTTGTTTTCATTTTTCAGAGAGTAGTTCCCCGGAGTCCTCGGGCCACCCCAGCCCTCCCAGCTACAGAAAACCTGCCAAGAGCCCCTCCTCTTCCTCGCTCAAAGTCAGGGACTTGTGCCGTCTTCAAGGCACGATCCCCGGGCCCGAGGAGGACGCATGCACGAGACAGAGAGCCCAGTCCAGCAGACCTGTCAACGGGGTCCAGAAGCAGAGGCGCGTGGCCGCCAACGCGCGCGAGAGGAGGCGGATGCACGGGCTCAACCACGCGTTCGACGAGCTGCGCAGCGTCATCCCGGCGTTTGACAACGACAAGAAGCTCTCCAAATATGAAACTTTGCAGATGGCGCAGATTTACATCAACGCGCTGGCCGATCTGCTCCAAGGTCCGGTGTCCTCCTCCTCCTCCAACAGCAGCAGCAGCAATAACGACGCGTCAAACAATAACAGCAACTCGCCAAAGTGTGACATTATGCTTTCACCCACTGTTGGGTTTGACGGGGCGAAGGACAGGGTTTCTCCGTCCCCTACAACCTGCAGGACAGCAGCGGCTGTGCCCGTCTCAGGTAGCAGCTTACCTGTCCACATCAGCGGGATCCCTTTCCGCTCCTCCTTCGATGATGGGTCGTTTTCCGCCTTGGTTGAAGAAGCGATGCGCTCGCCCTCTCCTGTGTCCTCCACCCGGGCTGGCAGCTCGCTGGCACCGGTGGGAGGTGGGAGGAAGGAGTCTCCCCGGAGCGACGGAGAGTTTTCCCCACACTCCCACTTCAGTGACTCGGATGAAATAGCGATGGAGCTCCACTCAAGTGAAGAAGATGACATCTCAGAACTGAAGCTACGCGGCCACCATCGCCACGCAGCTGCTTTCTAAATGATTCAAGAATAAACTATATTAGAAGTTGACTGTAGCCTACAACAAAGTAATGTCCGTGTAAACCGTGTCAATCATGCAGTGTATCTGTTGCTAACAAAATGCCGTTTTAAAAAGATGGACATTTTTATTTGCTTTTTCAAAACAGTCCATTTTTAACAATAATCCTATATTATCACCTTGTGACATAGTCTAAAGATTATTTTTTTTGTGTGAGATAGGCCTGATTTGGTTCTGCCAATAGATGTATAGCCTATAATTTCCAGTTTCCATGGAGATGTGGCTGGAAGACCCCTCTGCCATGTCGCACGCAGCACTGCCATGGGTATTTCCCACGTCACTCCGACCAAAAAGCTGTCTTCCACAAAATCATAATTTTATGGATAATTGCTTATATTTGATAATGTAAAAAAACTCTTCTTTTTGTAGCTACAATATTTGTTGTGTTTTTATTTTTTAATTTGTATGTAGGCCTAATGTCTTTTGTTTTGCAACTTCAAAAGTTCATAATGTGCACTTTAAAAAAACACACGAGCCAGAGGCTTGAGAGATGAGACTTTTTTTTTTTTTTTCAAACCATAAACAACATTGTTTTTGCTTTGTTTGCTAGTGTAGTACTGCCAATTCCATACCGATAGCCTATTTAATGTAGCCATCATTGCTGCCTTCCTTTTTGTATTTTCTTTTGTATCTTCAGTGTGTCTTTTGCTTTCACTGGATGAGATTAATTGACATGTATTTATTACTGATATGTTTCATTTGATTTTGCATTTTGTAAACTCCATAGTTGAATTTGCTGGAAACAAAAAAAAGCTATAATTTTTGCCATTTATTATGTTAATTTGATTTTGGGAATAAAAAAGCAAACGAAAAAATGTGATGTTTCTGTGTCTCATGTTGTTTCCGTGCACCTAGACAACAATGAAGTCTTTTATATATAGGCTACAGTCAGAATTTATATTTAATCATAATTGCCCCAATATAATACTAATAATTATAATAAAAAGAAAAATAAATAATTGGTCATTTGTAATTTGGTAATAATTGGAAAATGAAGTCTGTTTGGACTGTTAGGTTTTAACAACTGTCTTCTAAGCTTAGAAGTGGCCAATAACACAATATTAATCATGATAATAATAAAACACTAAGGTTAATTTTAGAAATAGATGGATAAACAAATAGGTTTTAAAAAAGTTTTAACCCTGTACCTCATTTTAGAAATTACATGTGGGCCTATATAACAAAATTTACATCTACAGCACCATAACCTTGATGAATATGCTATGAAAAACGTAGAATAAAATACAGAATTACATTAAATTAAATTAAAAACAAACTAAAATAAAATAGAATAAACTGAGTCACGGTAAATTAACAGGCCCCTCCAGGAGATAATGGCGTGGTCTGCCAATAAAAGTTTGGTCCACTGTTTGCATGTTGGGGAAAATAGCTGAACCTCACATAAGTAGGCCTCTCCATTTAATTCAAGTAACTTTCAACACTTGATCTTCTCTTATGTAATTTATCTTAAACTAACAGCGACGTGAAACGTGTCCAACACGCGCTCGCTCGCCATATGCTGCAGGTGCACGCGCCCCCTGACCCCCAGTCCTGTGATTGAGTGTCCCAAACTGCGACGTTTGTGGCAACTTTGACGCAGAGAATCGCCGCATTAAATTAAAGCGCTGTGTTGTTTTCGAGCAACAGTCTTCTCCGCACTCAGAGAAAAGTTTGAACTGTTGCCATGCCGTCCATTTGGTGAATACCAGATTTGGTAATGGGGAGTGTGCATTAATTTCAGCCTATTGTTGGCAGGCTCGTGGGCCGAGGTGTTGGATGGCCTCAATGAAGCACGCGCTGTCAGCTGGTGAGCGCTCGCGGGTCCCCACCGTGTCCCCGAGGACCTGACTCGAGAGGGAACACACTTTCTCAACTAAAGAAAGGCACACACACACACACACACACACACGTCGATACACCTCCTCCTCTCTCTTTCTTTCTCCTTTCTTTCTCTCTTCCCATCAACTCGAACAAACACGCGCATGTGGACGTTTACGCACGCACCGCGCACACTGGCTCTGGTAACCTGTCCTGCTGCGTGACTCAGGCTGAAGTTTTTTCTCCTCTCTTTCTCCCAACTTATTTTCGACTCATCTACCGTGTGTCAGAAGCCTGGCGGACACGAGGGCGTGGATCAGAAAAAAAGCAAAACACTTGGAAATAATTTATGACACTGCCTGAAGTACCTGTTTGCTACCTGTCACTGTTCTGTCTCCCACCCACTGTTTCCAGCCAATCACGAGCCGTGGCCCTTTGCTCGCCTCCTGAAGGCAGAAAAAGAAGGGAAATATAATGAGGATGCTGTGTTAAATTATTAACAGAATTTATGCAGGTAGGGCTCTATCAGAGTATGATCAGACAGCCATCTGCAGCGAGTTCGTGTTGCGGTGAGAGGAGATCAAGTTTCAGTAAACACTTTAAAGGGATACCATAGAAATGTGACAGTAAAATGACTTTTTTCTGTAGGAAAATAAGGGAAATCATCACAATTTTGAGGTCCCAGTCTGTGTTTTATTTATTGATTTATTTTTAATTTAATTTTGTTTTATTTTATCTTGTTTTATTTTATTTTACTTTATTTGTTTATTTTGTCTCTGATCAGTCATCAAAACTTCCCTTAACCGCAGGATAAAATGGAACTATTAAACGTAAAAGATATGCTTTCATGGACGTTTTAGATTTCAGAGAAAACATTTGTTTTTATTTCTTTTGAAGTGTTGTGTGCTATGCAAATAAGTAAAAAAAAATGATTCATGGTTGATCGCAAAAACCGTGGGCACAACCTCTAATACTAACCTTATCTCCAGTATATCTAGATCTGTTATAAATTCTCTAGAGGTGTTTATTTTAATAACTTCCTGCTGAGGTCATTTCGGTAAACAGCTCACTGGGGTCTCCATGTAAGATGCATCCATGTTTTTTGATGCGTTTTCAAATTTGGTATATGATGGTTTAATAATAACGACCAATGACGTGCGTTATTTCTGTAACTAATGGTGGTACGTATAGAAAGAGGGAGGGAACAGCAGCTATTTTCAACAGGTGGGATGCTGATCGGGTTGAGGTTTCACGCACATTAATTATTTAAGCACGGACGTTATGAAAAATAACAGAGTGGTGGAGTTAGGGAGAACCTGAGACGCACTGACGCGTGTGGATGCTGTTGTGGGTAAAAGAAAACACTGGAAAGGGGGGAAACTGTTTTTGCACACTGTCTTCACTTTGACAGTTGTTTCCTTGCTGTTTTCGTTGAGGGGAATTTGTTTAACAGACCAATAAATCGACTTGTACCTTCCTCTGACACAATTCAACAGCCTTATAAGGACACAATTTCCTATCCATCAAAAGCATGATGCCATAAACAACAAGTAGCAGACTCAGAGTGCACATGGGAGATGTTTGCCTCTGTTCATTTTCATCCAAACCATGATACTTTCCCTAAACTTAACCAAAAATAGTGCATCAAACAGGTAGGCAGCACTAAAGGAATGAAAATAACCAACATTATAATGCATAAAGAAAGTTTCAGTGAAGTTAAGCAGTCTCTGGAGAAGAGGTGTGTTCAGTATGTTTCATTAAGCCTCTGTAGTCATGCTCTTTTCAATAAATATATTCAGAATACTTGCATTCCACAGCTTCCTTTTTTTTTTTTTTTTTTTTTTATCTATGAAAAGAAAGGCGCTTGCATTTTGTATGAGATATGGGGAGCTGAGCAGTGTGCTGTCCAAAAAGCCACGGGTCTCTCTGGGGACCCAGAACAAAAGGCAGAACTGGGCCATAGTCTCCATCTGCTGTCCCAGAGACAGAGCGGGAGGAGAGGGTGGCGAGTGAGGACACCATGGGCAGAAAGAGACAGAATAATAAGTAAGAAGGAGGAGAAAAGAGAGACAGAGTAGAGGCAGCGGCAACAGGGGACACGATGGGCAGTTACAAGACAGACAGACAGATAGATAGAGTTCAGTTCAATCCAACTAACTGTAAATTGGGCAACATAGCTACACCTTTGTTTGATCTTACCCTTTAATTACCCAGAAGCCCTCACCTCTCATTAGCCACCACAGACCTGTATTATCATGTCCTGTAGCGTAACCTATAGTGATCACACAAACACACACAATGCAGCTGTGATGCAATGAGCACCTGTTGCATTGCATGCTCCAACTCAGTGATGCTATAAATTGTTAATGAGTTTCCTTGGTAGTGCTACAGTCACACAAATGGCAGCATTTATATCAGTAGAGTTATCTTTGGTGTGATGCTGTTACAGTGAAATATCTGGGAATGTGTTTGAGTACGAGTCAATATCTAGCCTGTGATGTATGCATGTGTTGGGCTGCGATCCAAATTGTCCGACAGGGTTTACAGTAAAATACAGTTAAAGTCAGTAAGTCAGCATCTTGGCACACAAAGTTGGTCAGCCGTGTTTCTACAGGCACAAGAAGCTCCATCATTTCATGTGCAAATCTAGCAGTCTGATCACAGTGGGGAAATAAAAATGAGCCCTTAGTTCTCTTCCTCTTCATCTGCTCTAAAGCAGTGCCCAGAGGCAGTCAGCTTACACTGACCTTTTCTATCTGAGGAGGTGACTAGGACACACAGGTCAGAAATTAAAGCTGTGCCCAGATCAAACCATGTAGTAACTGTTTTAACGTATCAGTCGAACCATTGTTGTAATATTTAACAAAAAAACAGATCCAGTAAAATGATAAGTGAGAATCATTTTTAAACAAAGTTTATCAGTGGATAGCCACTTGAGATGAACCATCTCGTTTTTAAGGGGGTCTGACACAAAACATACAACACACTTCATTGCAATGAACACATTCACAACATAAAACAATCCAAATGTTGATGGGCAAATTATTCCAATCAGAAGGAGCTTTGAATTTGAAGGCACGTCTGCTAATTTCTTTGATAGTTTGGAGAACTAAAAAGTATGATTATTGAGTATGTCTAAGTGAGTAATAAAAAGTCTAAGTGTCCTAAATGAGGATAATTGAAATGGATGCATTTGGAAATGCACTAGAGCCAATGGTAATGTCTTTGAGTGCTGAGTGGTAACTAGTTCAAAGTTTCGTACACTGAGCAGTGATGAGTTCGGAAGGGACACTTTAAAATAAATCTACAGAGGCTATTGTCAATGAATAATGAATTAGGATGTTTCATATGTATTCTGATAAACAATATTTTTCATTATTTGAATCTTTTGTATTTGTGTCACATCAAATGTTGATATACACAACTGGTTATCTTAGAGTTATCTTGAAAATATATTGTAAATTACCTGTACCTGTTGTAGTTCCCAGAATTCAACACAAGGAACATTTTTTGTGGTAACACAAAGGGATCAGCAGTATTGCAGTCTGATTTTGACGTTCAAGCGGATAAAATGTTTAAACACACAGGATAAAATGTCTACTTATTTACTGTAGAAATGACTATTTGGCAAACAAGTTATAACTAAAGCAACAGCTAAACATAATAAGATAATGAAACGTAATCCAAAAGTTAAGTTTGTTGAACTGCTGAAACAGAGCGGTGAATGCCAAATGATTTTGTTTGGGACCATTCTGCAGCAACAGGCAATACAGTACAATACTGAAGGGCAGTTATAGTCAGGTATAGCCCATGGGCCAAATCTGGCCCTTGATAGGGAGCCAAGTAGCCCGCCAACCATTTTCTTATCATCACTCAAAGTAAACTGATTCACACTGGGATTTTCTTTTTGTACTTTGAATGTAAAAAATGTGCCAAATCACATTAAAAAAGCACCAAAACAGAGCTT